GCTAGTTTAGACTTTTAAATAAGACACATGTATTGGTATTAGCTTGCTGAGTGGGAAAATGTTCAGGAATGGATGGATAACCAGGGCCTCAGATCCTATTACAGATAGCTGGTTGTGGGCCACCATGTGGTTGGTGGATATTGAACTCAGGAAGCTCTTCACCACTGAGCATCTCTCCAGCCCTCTAGCTGTAGTTACTCTTAAGGCCCATTTTCCCTTGCACTGGCACCATAATATCATAGTAGACCTTCTCTGCCGTTTGCTTCCCTCATTGCTCTTACCTAATACCCAACAAAAGCAGTTCAAAGGAGGAAGAATTTATTTTGGTCCTAGCTCAGAGGGTATGGACCATCTTGGCAGAGAAGTCTTGGCAAGTAGGGTGGGTCCCTCCTGAGCTGCTTTTGTTTTATATGATTTTGTTGAATATATTTCCTATGCCTTTGAGCTGAAGTTCTTCTTCTGTCCCTATTCTTGGGTTTGGTCTTTTGTGGGCGCATATTCCGATATGCCACAAAAGCCATTACCCCGGTTTGAGCTGATTACATAGCTCTGCAGACAAGCTGTCTGTGCCCTTAACAAGCCAGGATGTCATGCTTCTAGCTTCTTTTGTTAAAGTGTGGATTGCCTGAGAAGAGGTGTTGACTGAAACTGGTCAGGATGTTTGGGGCTTCTTTCCTTATGCAATTTGGAGGTTGTCTTATAGAGATGCTAATTCAGGGCCTACCTGACTGCTTGATGCAGAGGAGACCAGAGCCCAGGCACCTGGTTGCCTAGGCAACAGCCTTTGTGTGTCCCCGCTCATTTGGTGTGGGTATATAAGATGTTTGGACAATAAAGGAGGATTCTGGCCTTTTCCATGATGACCGTGTAAGTTGTGTCTGATTATTCCTCGCGACTCCGTTCCAGTCTAGTTAGAGAATCTGTGTTGGACCCACACGGGCTCCGACAGTCTTTACATGATTTCCTGGATGTTTTGTGTTAAGAATTGATTGGATTTCACATTTTCTTTGACCAATGAACCTATTTCATCTTTTGTATTTTCACCACCTGAGACTCTCTCTTCCACTTCTTGTATTCACTTGGCTATTCTCGCATCTGCAGTTCCTGTTCATTTACCCAGCTCTTCCATTTCCAGAATTTCTTCGGTTTGTGTTTTCTTTATTGCCCCTCTTTCAGTTTTCAAGTCTTGAATTGTTTGAACTGTGCTTCACCCGTTTGTTTTTTTCTTGGGTTTCTTTAAGAGGTTTATTGATTTCTTCCAATTTTTTGTCTTTTTCTCCATTTCTTTAAGGGAATTTTCCATTTATTCTTCAAGGGTCTCTATCATCTTCATAAAGTTACATTTAAGGTCATTTTCTTCTGCTTCTTCTAGGTTAGGATGATCAGGTCTTCCTTCCTGTTGTATAACTACAGGGTTCTGGTGTTACCATGTTTCTTTTTAGGCTGTTGAACATATTCTTGCTTTGGCGCCTACCCATTTCTTCCTCCAATTGGTGCTGACAGTGTCTTTGCCTCTTGGTCCAATTCTTGCAGTTGCTGTCTATGTCTCAGGGATCCTCTCTTGGACTGACTGTTACAGTTGCTCTCTTTGTCTCAGGGAGGCGCTGAGGTCTCCAGGGACAGGTGGGTGTGGTGGTGGAGTGGGACTTGCAGATAAATTACAGGGTCTGATGGATGAGGAGAGTGTTGGAGCAGCCTGCCAGTAGGTGGCTTGCTTGATGGCTAGCTAGTGAAGCTGAGGCAGTTGAGGGAGCAGCCAGGGTTTTGCCTAGGGGCCTAGGGCCTAGAGATTGGGCTGTCTAATTCGGGAGTGGATCTCTCACCTCTTGGTCAGCTATGTGCAGTCACAGTCTACTTCAGAGATGCTCTGACGTTGCAGAGGGATGGGTGGGTTTGGGACTTTTAGGTTATAGGGTCTCATCGATGGTGGGGTGGGGTTGGAGCAGCCGAATTGTAGGAGGCTTGCCTGCAGGCCAACTAGTGAAGCTGAGCAAAATGCTGCAATTTTAAGTTAGACAATTTTATTTGTAAATTTGATATACAAAAGAATAGTTTTAGTAGTTACTTTTAGAAGAATTAAACATATTAGCTAAGGATTAAAAAAGTCTTCAATATCTTATTGTGTGTACAGACTGGTCGTATTACTTACTTTTCTATTGCTATGACAAAACCATGACCAAGGCAAGCTATAACATAAAGGGTTTAATTGGGCTTACAATTCCAGAAGGTTAGAGTATAAGATGGGGAAGTAAAGGCATGGAAGCAGGAACAGCTACGAGCTCATATCTGGATCCACAGGCAGGAGGCAAAGAAAGCTAACTCAAAATGGCATGAGTCTTTTGAATCCTTAAGGCCTGCCCCCAGTGACATACTTCCTCCAGAAAAGGCACAAATGCTAGTGCTTCCCAACAGCTACCAACTTGAGACCAAGTATTCAAACATATGAACCTTTGGGGCCATTCTCATTCAAACCACAAGAGGGATCAAGATTTTAGGACTAGAATTGCTGAAAGGTAGATCAGTAGAAAATGTAGTGAGTAATTTTGTGTGAAATGTGAACATTTGATTGGCAGGTATATTTTAATATCCCTTTCACCCTTGTGAGGGTTTCACTTTGTAGTTCAGGATGACCTTGAACTCATGATGTTCTTGCCTAAGCCTTCCAAGAGCTGGGATTATAGGCATGCACCACCATTTCCATCTGTTATGGTGAAATGGAATTTAAAAACATGTTCATCACAGCTGACTGGAAGAATCAATGGTACATTATAGTAATAGGATGCTTACATTGATACAGTTGCTGAGTGGGTATAGGGATGCTGTGCACTTGCTCACTGAGAAAGTATTCTCCTGAGATACAATTTTTAAAAGATATACTATGGAAAAGAGAAATTTAATGCCAATGGAAAGAAATATTGGCTGCAAAATGTTGAAATAATATCTGACAGATAAAAAATAGTTCTCAAACTTTAAGTATGTTTGTAATCATGAATCTTGTATATTGAACCTATGTTGCTTGGAATATGTGGTATAAAGTACATTTGTAATATTTGTTAAGAATAGATAATATTCATTAAGCATCCTATCACACTGTAATAAACATTAAAATTCAGTAGACACTATTAAGATACATAACATGCATGTCAGGTACTTTATTAAGAAATTACTTATTTTTCCTTATTCAAGATAAAAATGCATACTGACAGCTGTCAAACTTTTAAAGAAGTTTTAACAAAATAGATCAATAGGTGCTTTCAAATAGAGTTGAAGGTTATCACTGCCTGTTTCTCTAGATTAACTTTTTCTATATGGAAGTTGGGTAGTCAGTTGACAAGTGAAAGCAGTGTTTGAGACCGAAAACTCCGACAGTAGTGAATTAGAATAAGAGAAAATCTACGCCAGGCCTGGTGGTGCACGCCTTTAATCCTAGCACTTGGGAGGCAAAGCCAGCCTGGTCTACATAGTGAGTTCCAGAATAATCACAGCTACATCGTAAGGCACTATCTCAAAAAAATAAAATAAAATAAGTAAAAAAATAAAAAACAAACAACCGAAACCAAAAGAGTAGAAAGATAAATTTTTCACAGTTCACTCGGGCCCTCTAGGGGACTAAAGGAGTGAGAGAGCCTACTGTGAAAGCGGCAGCGTGAGCTTCAGCTCCCACGTAAGTGACACACAAACAACTTCATGGAGTTGTCCTCCGGTCAGTGAATGCTGTGGCAGGCACATCACCCCACATACACTGCTCACTCGCTCTTACACATACAGTCTTTAGGCTGACAAGTTGGCATATGCTTATAATCCCAACAAACCAAAGGCTGAGGCAGGACTGAATTTCAGGTCAGCCCCACTAAACATCAAGACCATGCCTCAAAAGCTAAACCAAGCCAAACCAAGCCTGACAGAATAGTTTCTTTTCTAAGTGCAGTGTTTATGCTCATACTTTTGTTAATGTCTAGCTATTATTTCTACCATGAGGCATAAGAGCCTGAGTCTGTGTATGCAATTAGGGCAGAATGAAGACAAATTGGGTCTGAGAGCTCTAAAGAGAATTATTCTCACAGTATGTCAGAGTGATGGTTCCTATGTTGGAGACTTCAAACCCACCTTCTGCTTTTGGTGCTATTTACTTTTTTCATTTCATTTAGTTTTCTTCCCAGCCTGATGACAATGAATATTTCTTTCCTGGCCTTCCTGTAAATATTTATGATGCTGATGATACAGCACATGTGTTAATGTATTTTCTAGCCTAACTCCCCTGAACAGGGTTTCTCTGTGTAGCCCTCGCTGTCCTGGAACTCACGCTGTAGAATAGGCTGTCTTTCAGCTCAGATCTGTGCCTCCCGGCCCTCTCCCCCCCCCC